AGCCTGGGCACCAGGTACTATGTGGTGACGCCCATGGGGAGTGACACCTACGGCATGGCTGAGCTCGTGGTGGTCGCCGGTGCTGCCATCACTGCTGTCTCCATCACCACCACGGCCACATTCCAGTATGCCGGGGACACCTATGTGCCGGGCGCGGTGCTGCGCCTCTTCCTGCAGCCCTACCACAGCCTGCAGCTGCAGAGCAGCCAGGACTTCACCGGCACTGCTGTGGTGGCCAACGCGCCTGTGGCCGTGCTCAGCGGCCACACTTGCACCAAGGTGACTGCGGGCTACGACTTTGTGGTGGAGCAGCTCCTGCCAACAGTGGCGTGGGGGAGGAGCTACTTGGTGCCACCCAACCCGGTGCAGCCAGGCACTGACCTTATCTATGTGGTGACGGAGGATTGCAACACTATCACCTATAACAGCAGCAGCGGGGAGGTCACCATGGCCATGGCAGCAGGGGAGGCGCGGGCATTGGTGGTGAACCACAACTCCCCCCTGTACCTCACTGCAGTGGCAGCAGTGCAGGTGCTGCTGTTCTTCACTGGCTCATCTTGGCAAGACCCCTTCCTCCTCATCGTGCCACCTGTCACTGCCTACTGCACCGCGTTCCACCTCAGCACTGTGCCCGGCTACTACAACCATGCCATCCTCATTGCGCCCACCGCCGCCACTGCTGCCACCACTCTCAACCACCAGCCAGCTGCCGCCATGAAGTGGCATGGCATTCCCGGCATGGAGTTCTCCTGGGCCGGCATCACAGTGAGTCCCCAGACATGGAGCGCCGAGAACCCACAGGCGCCCATGGGGCTCCTGGTGTTTGGGTTCAAGAGCAACACCGGGTACGGCTTTGCTGGGCTCTGCATCACCGGTGAGTACAGTGAGCCCATTGTTGAGTCAGCCCAATGGTTGGGCATTGTCCCGTTGGCCATCAGTGGGTTTCCCTGTTGCGTCAACCCAACAGTTGGGTGTTATCCGGTTGGCCATCCATGGATTTCCCTGTTTTTTGCAGCTCCAGAACCGGTCTCCTGCGAGGATTTGATGTGCGAGGAGAAGTGTGAGGTGGTGGATGGACAACCAAAGTGCGTCCAGGAGACCTTCTCCACCTGCTGGCTCACCAGTGGTTCGCACTACCGGAGTTTTGATGGGAAGACGTTTGATTTCATGGGAACATGCACCTACACCTTGACCACCCTCTGCAGTTCTGATCCCACCTTTCCTGCCTTCTCTGTGGAGGTCCAAAAGGAGAAAAAGGAGAACTCTAACGTCTCCTCCATTGGTTCCATCAACGTCCGCATTGACAATGTCACCGTCACTGTGGTCCGGGCAGAAAACGGGATGGTGAGGGTAAGCAAAAATCAACATAATTCCCAAATTCCAAGTGATTTTATGGAGTTTCACCAAAATTACACATTTAGTGGTGATCTTGAGGGTCTTTTCCTAAATAATTCTGGGATTTCCTAGTGTGCAGACAGACCTTGCATGAAAAAAACCCAAATCTTCAAAAACTCCACATTTTGCCTGATTTTGATGGTTTTTTGGTTGTTTTGCTGGTTGTTACCTCCCCCAGGTGAACAACCACAGCTCTCGCCTGCCCATCTCCCTCTCCTGCGGGAAGCTCCGGGTTCGCCAGAAGGGCAAATCCGTGTTGATCCAATTGGATTTCATGCTGAAGGTCCTCTACGACTGGGACGATCATGTGGTGGTCAAAATTCCAGCTGCTTTTTCTGGGAGAGTCTGCGGGTTGTGCGGGAACAGCAACGGGAACCCCCGGGATGATGCACTGGCTCCCGATGGGAGCAAGGTGTGGGATATCGTGGAGCTGGGGCGGAGCTGGAAGGTGACCAATGGGAGTGGTCACTGCCAGGACACCTGCGAGGGGGACTGTGGGCGGTGTGGGAGGGATGAGGAGGTGATATACAAGGCAGAGCGGTGGTGTGGGATGTTGTCCTGGCATGCTGGGCCATTCCGGCGCTGTCATGGCACCATCAATCCCAATGTCTACGTGAAGAACTGTATCCATGACCTGTGCGCCCATGGCGGCCATCGCACTGTGCTGTGCCACGCCCTCCAGGCCTATGCGGACGACTGCCAAGAGAATGGGATCGACATTTCTGATTGGAGAATGAGGATGGGATGTCGTGAGTAGAGGGGATGGTTGGGTGGAAATACTCCCTGGGGTGGGCAGAGCTTAATTCAAGTGGGTCCCAAGATCTGTGGAATGGTGTGCTGGGAAAGGTTATGGCAGCAGGTCCAAGCAGGAAGTCTGTAAAAGTCCAGGGAGACTCCAGGAAGTCCATGTAGAAAGTCCATAAAGTCCAGAGAGACTCCAGGAAGTCCATGTAGAAAGTCCATAAAGTCCAGAGAGACTCCAGGNCATAAAGTCCAGAGAGACTCCAGGAAGTCCATGTAGAAAGTCCATAAAGTCCAGAGAGACTCCAGGAAGTCCATGTAGAAAGTCCATAAAGTCCATGGAGTCTCTAGAAAGTCCAAGCAGGAAGTCCAGGAAGTCCGTGGAGACTTCAGAAAGTCCAGGTGGAAGGTTCCAAGAAGTCTGTGGAGACTCAGAGAGTCCAGGTAGAAGATCAGGAAAACCCATGGAGACTTCAGAAAATTCATGGAAACTCCAGGAAGTCTGCGTAGATAGTCCAGGAAGTCCATCCCACCACGTCTCACCTCACCCTGACCATGGTCTCCCTCCCTTTCCAGCTTTCACCTGCCCTCCCAACAGCACCTACAGCACCTGTGGCCCCAGCTGCCCCCCTACCTGCAACATCCCGGCTGTGCCGTTCAGCTGTGCTGCCAGCACCACCTGCGTGGACTCCTGTGTGTGCCACGAGGGCCTTGTCCTGGATGCCAACATCTGCATCCCCCCCTCTGACTGTGGTTGCGTCTTCGGGGGTCTCTTCCATGGCCTAGGAGAGGAGTTCTGGGGTGATCCCACCTGCACACAGCGCTGCGTGTGCGATGCGGAGCAGCGGCAGGCAGTGTGCCGGAATTCCAGCTGCGGTGCAGAGGAGGAGTGTCGGGTGCAAGAGGGAATCCAGGATTGTTATCCCAAAGTTTTTGGGGTCTGCAGCGCCGTTGGAGCCACCCACTATGAAACCTTTGACAGCAGGAGGTTCATCTTCCAGGGGACGTGTGTCTACCTGTTTGTTGGGTTATGTGAAGACAACCCAAATTTGGTGGGGTTCCAGGTGTTGGTGCAGAGTGGCCGCCAGGGCGACAGGCGCCTGTTGGCCATTGCCATGGTGACAGTCAAAGTCTACAACAAAACCATTGGCATCAGCAGGGAACAACCTGGGAAAATCATGGTGAGCTCAGGAAATGGTCCTTTATCCTTCCACCACCTCCTCCCAAACCTTCTCACCCATTAATTAATGATTAAATCTGAAATGGAATTAAATCAATGTCATTTGGGTGCTCCCGCTGTTGAAAACACTGGTGGAATTTGCTGTGAGACCCCAGATTTGATCAATTTTTATGGTTTTCCACACAGATTAATGAGTGGTTGGTCAACCTCCCACTGGGACTTGAACTGCCTCATCCTCTTAAATCCAAAACTTAATTTCATCTAATATTTAATTAAACAAATGCCATTTGGGTGCTGTGGCTGTTGAAAATAAGTTGGGATTTCCCCATCAGACCTCAAATTTGGTCCATTTTTATTGTTTTTCCCCCAGATCGATGAGCGGTTGGTCAACCTCCCATATCTTCATGGTGACAAGCAGATTGTTGTCTATCGCCACGGGCGGGACGCAGTGGTAGAGACCAACTTTGGCCTTGTTGTTACCTATGACTGGCACAGCCATGTCACTGCGACAGTGCCCGGTGCCTTTGCCAACGCCCTGTGCGGGCTCTGTGGGAACTTCAACGGCGCTGCCAGCGACGACATGAGGATGAGCAACAGCAACATGGCGTCAGACCCGGATGCCTTCGGGAGCAGCTGGAAGGTCGCTGATATCCTGGGATGCACTGAGAGATCGATGGCGGAATGTTCCAGTGCCACCACAGCACCACGGCTGCAACAGGAGGTGTCCGAGATGGGGTGTGAGATTATGTTGGAAAAGGATGGACCCTTTGGAGCATGTCATGGCCACGTGGATGCCCAGCCGTACTTCCAGAGCTGCATTCGGGACTCCTGCCTCGTCCCGGAGCAGGAAGATGGGATGTGTCCGATCATTGCCAGCTACGCCAGCGTGTGCCAGGCTGCCGGCGTGTCCATTGGGAGGTGGAGGATGGATAATTTCTGCTGTAAGTTGGGATGATTGGAGGGGTTTTCCTTTAGCAGGATCCTCAATTCCACTCCAAATCCATGTAGGAACAACCCAGAGGTGGGAAACCAGTAGGAATCTCAGCCGAAGTCTTGGTTGGTCCCATAATCCCCATTTCAACCCAAAGTAAACCTTTTGCAAGGAAGTTGTTTCATCTGGGATCATTTTCCCCCCAGAGTTCCAATTTCTTGGTATTGGATAAAAATTAGATGATTTAGAGGGAAAACCACCAAAAATGCACCAAAAATAGCAGAACTGGGGCAAAGGGATCCAGCCTGGAGGTCATGTGAGGATCCAGCATGTGAGGATCCCATTCCTTGATGGAACGTCCCAGTTTTCTCCATGAAAATGGAGAAAATTATGTGATTTAGAGGCAAAAATTCCTATTTAAGTGCATTGGGATGTTCCTTATGGATGATCATTGGATCATCACTGGGTAGGCACTGCGTTATCATTGGATGATGTCCCTCATCATGTCCACAAGGACGAAAACAAAGATTGGGCTAAAAACTCTGTGTTTGGTGATGTTCATCACTGGACACACTTGAACTCTGGGAAACCTCCAGGGTTTGGCTTCGGAATTTCCTGGTTCTTCATGGATCCTGTTATTTCCCAGCAGATATTCCCTGCCCTCCTAACAGCTCCTACAAGCTCTGCTCTAACACCTGCCAGCACAGCTGCGGTGCCAGCTCTGCCACGTGCCGAGGGCGGTGCCGTGAGGGCTGCGCATGCCATGATGGCTTCATGCTCAGCGGGGACGAGTGTGTGCCCACAGCTCACTGCGGCTGCACCCACCACGGCATGTACTACAAGGAGGATGAGACCTTCTACCCCACAGAGCATGAGGAGTGCCGGTGCCTCTCCAACAGTGCTGTGGAATGCCAAAATATTTCCTGTCCTGATGGCAGCCCTGGGAAGGTCGTTGATGGCATCTTTCAGTGTCCCCCGCCAGCATCCGGCACCTGCGTGGCCATGGGAGACAGTGCCTATATCACCTTCGATGGGGTGGCCTTCAATGTCACCGGGTCCTGCTCCTACATCCTCAGCCAGACCTGCGCGGGTGACGTGACATCATTTGTGGTCACAATCCAGAAAGAGGCCCGTAGGAAGGGGAAGGTTTCCGGGATCCAAGCGTTGTCTGTGGAAGTCTATGGGGTCAACTTGACCTTAACCCAAGGAAAAGGGGGAGATGTCATGGTAAGGTGGCACTTCATGGACCAGATCTCACAGGTTCCCCCCAGAATTGTGTTTCATTGATGGAGGGGACACCTCACCCTATCTCCAAGACCAATCCACATTCATCCCAACTTTTCTTTTCAAGCAAGACCCATAAATGCATCAAAACGTTGGTTGGAAGGTGTTTTCCCCACATTTCTGGTCCCACCTCCTCACTGGAGGACTCTTCCTTCCCTTTCCCAGGTGAATTCAATCTCTCACCACCTCCCGGCCATCCTGGGCGAGGGGCAAATCCAGGTGTATCCCCATGGGACAGGGGTCCTGCTCCGCACTGACTTCGGCCTCGTTGTCCACTACGACCTCGCCCAGCACGTGACACTCACAGTCCCCCAGACCTACCTGGGCCACCTGTGTGGCCTCTGTGGCAACTACAACGGGCAACATGACGATGATTTCCACCTCTCCAACGGCCAGCTGTCTCTGGATGCCACAGCCTTTGGATCTGCATGGAAAACCAAGGATAGGCCTTGTGAAGACGCATGTCCTGACAAGGAGTGTTCCACCTGCTCCAAGGAGAAGGTGCTGGTCCTCCAAAAACCCAACTACTGCGGCCTCCTCACGGCCCCCGAGGGGCCCTTTGGCTCCTGCCACAGTGTCATTGACCCCACCCCATATTCCCAATCCTGCGTCCATAACCTCTGTGTGACTGGAGGGGATACAGGTGCCCTGTGCCAGAGCATCCAGAGCTATGTCAGCATGTGCCAGGATGCTGGAGTTGCTGTGGGGGATTGGAGGACGCCGTCCTTCTGCCGTGAGTTTGGGGGGAAATGTCCCTGGTTTGGGGTTGGGGAGATCCCCTGGTGAGAGCCCACCTGGAGCGCTGGGAGTTGGGGGAGATGTCTCTTCTTTGGGGTTGGGTGACAGCGGTGACACTCAGGATGTGGGATGATGGTGACGGACTGAGCTTTAGGGTCCCTTCCAACCCAACTCAGTCCATGATTCCATGAAAATTCCAGCCCTCCCCTGCCCGGCCAACAGCACCTACTCCCTGTGCACCAACACCTGCGCCAACACCTGCGCCGGGAGGGCCACCACGTGTCCCCAGACCTGTGCTGAGGCCTGCCAGTGCCACCAGGGCTCCGTGTCAGACGGGCAGGGCTGCATTCCCGAGGAGCAATGCGGATGCTTTGAGGATGGGCGATACTACAAGGTAGTTTTTCCAGGGTATTTTCCCTTTTCTCCCTATTTTTAGGCATTTACATCCTTTCCCCCTGCTTTTTTCCCTATTTCTATACATTCGCATCCTTTTCCCTGCACTTTTTTCCTTCTTTTCCCTATTTTTCTGTTTCACCTCTATTTTTCCTGCAACTTTTTCCTTTTGTTCATATCTTTCTGCATTTACCTCTCTTTCCATGGCACTTCCCTTTTGTTCCCTAGTTTTATGGATTTACGGTTTGTATTACTTCCTTCCTTTTTTCCCTATTTTTATGCATTTACATCTTTATTCCCTGCATTTTCCCCTTTTCCCTATTTTCCTGTCTATTTCCCAGCATTTCCCCCCCCCAGTTTTGTCTTATTTTTCCCCCTCTGCATGTAATTCCTTTTTTTCTCTGTTTTTAGGAAGTTTTTTCCCCTGTATTTTTCCCTATTTTATGCATTGGCATCTCTTTTCATGCATTTTCTCTGCATTTTTCCATAATTTTATGCATTTGTCTTTTTTCCCTGCATTTTCCCCTTTTCCCTTATTTTTGTATTTCCCCAGTATTTCCCCCCCATTTTTGCCTTTTCTACCCCGCTTTTTAATCATTTTATTCACGATTTTTCTGCCTTTATGTCCTTCTTTCCTGCATTTTTCCTTTTTATCCCCTATTTTCATGGATTTCCCTTTCTTCCTTCCTCCCTCCTTACAGCCCCATGAGGTGGTTTTCCAGGATCGCTGCCAGCGTCGGTGCTCCTGTATCCCAGGCCAGGGCCTCACCTGCCATGACCACTCCTGCACTGAGGATGAATCCTGTGAAATTCGGGAGGGGGTCTTGGGATGTATCAACAAAAGTGAGGGAAAATGGGGGAAAAGGGGATTTTGATTTAGTGGGGAAAATCCTGCGGGAAGGGGAGGCAGAGGGAACAGATCCCATCCCTGGCACTGAGGGTCAGGAATGGGGAGGTTCTTCCCATGGCTTCTCCCATCCCATGACTTTTCCCATTCCATTATTCCTCCCCTGGTTTCTCTCATCCCATGGTTTTTCCCATGGTCTTTCCCATGTTTTTTCCCATCCCATGGTTTTTCTCATTTTTCTTCGCATGTTTTTTCCCCACAATCTTTCCAATGGTTTTTCCATCCTGTGGTGCCTTCCATGGTCTTTCCCATGTTTTTTCCCATCCCACGTTTTTTCTCATTCTTCTTCCCATGTTTTTTCCCCAGGTCTTTGCCATCCCATGGTTCCTTCCATAATTTCTCCCATGATTTTTCCCATTCCACGATTTTTCCCATCCTGTGATTCCTCCCATGGTTTCTCCCATGATTTTTCCCATCCCATTGTTTTTCCCATCCCATAGTTCCTTCCATGACTTCCCCCAAGTATTTTCCCATCATTTCCCCCAAACTGTGGCTTCTCCCAACGCTCATCCCACATTCCCTCCTCTCTCCCTCCCTTCCCAGACCCCTGCAAGTCCCTGAGGTGCCGCCCCAAGGAGCGGTGCCGGCCCCGTGGCTCCGAATCCCGCTGTGTCCCAGCGCTGGTGGCCACGTGCTGGGCATGGGGGGATCCCCACTTCCGTACCTTCGATGGGCTAGAATTCGACTTCCAAGGAACCTGCACCTACACCATGGCCGAATCCCATGGGAATGACCCCAGGCTGGAGCCCTTTAGGGTGGAGGCCAGGAATGACATCCGGGGCGGGATCAGATCCGTGTCCTATGTCTCCGTTGTCAACATCAACGTCTATGGACAACGCGTGTCCTTCCACCACAACGAGGACGGGAAAGTCCGGGTGAGATGGGGGAAAGGGGAAAAATCTGGGATTTTTTCCAACTTTTTGCTTTATCCAGCACTTCCCAACATCCTCCTTCATCTGGCCAATGGTTCTGTCAGCACCAGTGTTGTTTTGGGATAAATCAGTCAGACTGGGAGGTGGATTGTTGAAATTTTGGGATGTTTTGGGGATAAAATGTTGGGAATAGAGTACTTGGATATGTCAGGAACAGAATATTGGTATGTGCCAGGAATCAGATGTTGGGATAAGTTGGGAATACGGTGTTGGGGTATGTTGGGAATAAAATATTGGGATGTGTCAGGAATAAAATGTTGGGATACGGTGGGAATAAAATGTTGGGAATAGAATATTTGGATATGTCAGGAACAGAATGTTGGGATAGGCTGGGAATAAGATTCTGGGATTTATTGGGAATAAAATGTTAGGATATGCCCAGAATAAAATGCTGGGATATGCCAGGAATAAGATGTTGGGATGAACTGGGAATAAAATGTTGGGCTGCGTTGGGAATAAGATGTTGGGATAAATTGGGAATAAGATGTTGGGATAAATTGGGAATAAAATGTTGGTTGTATCTAGGGAATAAAATAGTAAGATATTTCAGGAATAAGATGTTGGGGTGCACCAGGAATAAAATACTGGGGGATGTTAGGATATTTTGGGAATAAAATATTTGAACATGGTAGGAATAGAATGTTGGGATAAAATATGGCAGGAATAAAATATTGGGATATGTGATGTGTAAAACATTGGGGTATGATGGGATTTAATGTTGGGAACATGCTGTGAAAAAGAATTGGGATATGTGGGAAATAGAATATTGGGAATGAAATGCTGGTGTGTGTTGAATCCAACCCTGGGATACCTGGGAATGCTGGCAGGTGAACGGGGAGCTGGCCCTGCTCCCAGTGTTCCTGGTGGATGGGAGGCTTCGTGTCCATCCCAGCGGGCTCCGCGTCACCCTGGACACGGATTTTGGGCTCCGTGTCTCCTACGACTGGAACTGGCATCTCTTCATTGACCTCCCCAGCAGCTTCTTCGGCCACGTCCGTGGCCTCTGTGGGAACTTCAACCTGCAGCCCCTGGATGACATCCCCGAGGCCGGCGACAACATCCCTGCCCTGGTGGCCTGGGCCAGGGGCTGGAGAAGCTCCGACCCTGATGCCCAGGATCCCCTTTGTTGGGATCACTGTGATGGGGAGTGCCCAGTGTGCGAGGAGAAGGAGCTTTGGGGTGGGAACAGCTACTGTGGAATCATCAAGAAGTCCTTCCAGGGGCCCTTCCGGGCATGTCATGCTGTGGTGAAGCCTCAGGAGTTCTTTGGCAGCTGCCTGGCCGAGCTGTGCCGGAGCCGCGGCGCGAGGCAGGTCCTGTGCCGGGTGCTGGAGACTTACGCGGCCACGTGCCGGAGGAGCGGGGTGACCATGGGCGACTGGAGGACACCAGCAGGATGCCGTAAGGGATGGGGGTGCTTTGTGGTCCAGCTCCTAAAACCTATCTGGTTTCATTCCAAATCCCCTGAGTCCCCCAATTCCATCCCCAATTCCCTTCATCCAACCTAAAATCCCCTTGGTTTCTCCCCAGATCCCTGGTTTTGCCCCAAAACTACTTAATTCCACCCAAAATCCCCCAAATATCACCAAAACCCCCTTAATTCAACCCCAAAATCCCTTAATTCCTCCTACCCCTGCCCCCAATCTCACCAAAATCCTCCGGAGTTCACACAAAATTCCCTGAATTCTACCTAAAATTCCCAAAGACCCCTCTAAGACCCTCCCTGACCCCCTCTAGACCCCCAGAGGCCCCAGGCCCCCCAGAGCCCCCCCTTTCCATGGGGTCCATCCTCCCAGGCCTTGGGGCTCTGTGGGGCCACTTGGCGGGCACTTCAGGTCCTGGGGGGCATTTTTGGGGCACTTCTGGAGCAGTGAGATCCATCTCAGTGTGAAGCCCTCAAATCCCTCTTCTGGAAGTTCTCCAGAACCTTCTCCTGGTGCTCCAGACTCTACTCCTTGTGACCCAGACCCCATCCTGTGTGTCCCAGACCCCTTCCCATGTGTCCCAGACGCTGTCCTGCCTGTTCCCACACCCTTCGCACATGTCCCAGACCCCATCTCACTTGTCCAAGACCTCATTCCCTGTTTCCCAGACCTCCTTGCATGTCCCAGCCCCCATCCTGCATGGCCCAGACCCTTCCTACATGTTCCAGACCCTGTCCTGCCTGTTCCCAGCCCCCATCCCTTGTATCCCAGACCCCTTCCCACATGTCCCAGCCCCCATCCCACACTTCCACACTTCCTAGACTTTCCTCCTCATCCTCCATACCCTTCTCCTGGTTTCCCAGACCCTTTCCCACCCCTCCCATCAGATGCTCTCCACTCTCTCCATCCCTCATCCCAGTTCTCTCTCTCCCCAGCCCTCCCTTGCCCCGAGAACAGCCACTATGAACCATGTGGCACTGCCTGCCCAGCCACCTGCTCCGACCCGGATGCTCCCTCCTCGTGTGCCCTGCCGTGCGTGGAGTCCTGTGTGTGTGACCGCGGCCATGTGCTGAGCGCCGGGCACTGTGTGCATGTGTCCCGCTGCGGCTGCACCCGCGCCGGGCGCTACCACCGCCCCGGTGAGGAGTTCTGGGGGGACCCCTCGTGCCGCTCCTGGTGCCGCTGTGACCCAGAGCTGGGCATGGTTGTGTGTGAGGAGGCCAAGTGTAAGTCAGGTGAGGTGTGTGCCGTGGTGGAGGGCGTCAGGAGGTGTGTGGCTACCAACCGCTCCATCTGTGTGGCCACGGGGGACCCCCACTACACCACCTTCGACGGGCACCACTACGACTTCATGGGCACCTGTGTGTACCTGCTGGCCGGGCTGTGCTCCCCTGACCCCACCCTCGTGCCCTTCAATGTCACCGTGGAGAACAACCACCGTGGGAACAACCATGTGTCCTTCACCAAGGTGGTCACCTTGGAGGTGTTCAATGTGAGCCTCAGCCTCAGCCAGGAGCACCCCAAGAAGGTCAAGGTAGGGGAGAGGCAGAGGATGGGAGGGGGGTTCAGTCATTCCGTGGGTTTTGGGAGGGGCTGAGGTCATTGTGTGGCATTTGGGGGAGGTTCAAGGTCTTTGCATGGTCTTCAGGTTGGTTTCAAGGACATCACATGACACCTGGGTGGGGGTTCAAGGTCTTTTTAAGGTGTTTAGGTGGGTTTCAAGGTCATTGTATGGTGTTATGTTGGGTTTCAAGGCCACTGTATGGTCTTCAGGTGGCTTCTGAGGCCATCCCGTGCCATCCAGGTTCCCTTCAAGCCCGTCTCATACCCCCTGGGTGGTCTCCAAGTCCATCCTTTAACCTCCCACCCACAGGTTGATGGCGTCCTGCTGGACCTGCCCTTCTCTCACCCCTCCCACGAGCTCCGGGTGTCCCTGCGGGGTGTCCATGGCTTCATCAGCACGGCCTTTGGCGTCACCGTCACCTTCGACTGGCACAGCTACGCCCGCGTGATCCTGCCCAGCACCTTCGCCGGCACCGTCTGCGGCCTCTGCGGCAATGCCAACGGAGACCCCCACGACGACTTTGTCACCCGCCAGGGCTACCCTGCCCACAATGACACCCACTTTGGGGACAGCTGGAAAGTCTCTGAGGTCCCTGGGTGCTCCCCAGGGTGCACCGAGGGCTGCCAGGGGTGCAGCAACACCCAACGCCGTACCTACCGCGGGGACAAGCACTGTGGCATCCTGGTGAAGAAACGGGGGCCCTTGGCCACGTGCCATGAGGTCATTGACCCCGCCCCATTCCTGGAGGACTGTCTGTTTGACACGTGTCTCTTCGAGGGCCACCACGATGCCGTGTGCCAGGCCGTGGGCGCCTACGTCAGCGCGTGCCAGAGCCGCGGCGTGACCGTGGGGCCCTGGCGCACACACGCATTCTGCAGTACGGGGCGCTGGGGCTACAGAGGGATTTGGGATGTCCATGGGGGCTTGGGGTGTCCACAGGGGGTTTTGGGGTGTCCATGGAGGTTTTGGGGTCTACGGGAGAGTTTTGGATTGTCCATGACAGTTTGGGGGGCTGCATGGGGCTTTTGGGGTGTCCAAAAGGGTTTTGGGGTGTGAATGGGTTTTTTTCGGTGCCCATGGGGATTTAGGGTCTGCATGGGGAGTTTTGGGTTGTCCATGAGGTTTTCAGGGTGTCCACAGTGGTTTTGGGGTGTGAATGGCAGGGTTTGGGAGTGTGAATGGCAAGTTTTGGGATGTCCATGGGGGTTTTGGAGTGTGAATAGGGGTTTTGGGGTGTCTGTGGGGTTTTGGGGTGTGAATGGGAAGTCTGTGTCTGCATGGGGGTTTTGGGGTGTCCGTGGGGGTTTTATGATCTGCATGGGAGGGTTTTGGGGTGTCCATGGGGTTTTTGGGGTCTACATGGAGAGTCTTGGGTTGTCCCTGGGAGGTTTTGGATCTACTCTAGGGGGTTTGAGGTTTGGTTGGGGGGGTCTTGGGGTCTGCATGGGGAGATTCAGGGTGTCCATGGAGAGGGGTTGGGTTGTCCATGAGGGTTTTGGAGTGTCCACAGTGGTTTTGGGGTGTAAATGGGGAGTTTTTGGGTGTCTATGAGGGGTTTTGGGGTGTCCAGGAGAGGTCTTGGATCTGCACAAGGGGGTTTGAGGTTTGCATGGGAGGTTGTGCAGTTCAGGCAAGGGAGTTTCGGGGTGTACATGGGGGGTTTGGGATTCACACATGGGATTTGGGGGTCTGCACAGGGAGACTTGGGGGTCCATGAGGTTTTTGGGGTGTCCATAGAGCTTTGGGGGCTTGCAAGGAAATTTTTGGGTCTCCATGGAGTTTTGGGGGGTTGCAGGGGGTTTTTTGGGTGTCCATGAGGGTTTTGGGGTGACCATGAGGGTTTTGGGGTGTCCATGGGGGTTTTGGGGCATCCCTGGGAGTTTGCAGATTGTTTTTTGGGTGTTCATGAGGGTTTGCGGGGGGAGGGGGTGTGTCCATGGAGGTTTGTGGGGTTTTTGGGTGTCCATGGGAATTTTGTGGTTCTCAAGGGATTTTTTGGGTGTCTATGAGGGCTTGGGGGTTTTGTAGAATTTTTTTTGCGGTGTCCATAGGGGTTTAGGATTTTTTTGGGTGTCCATAGGAATCTGGGGAGTCCATGAGGGTTTTAGGGTGTCCGTGGGAGTTTGGATTTTTTTGGGTGTCCATGAGGGTTTTGGGGTGTCCATAGGGGTTTGAAGGTTTGCAGGGAATTTTCTGGGGTGTCCATGGGGGTTTGGGTTTTGCATGGGATTTTTTGCGGTGTCCATGTGGGGTTTGGGGTTTTTTTGCTTGTCCCTATGTGTTTGTGCTCCTCACCCCTCTCCCCTCCCCGCAGGCCCTGTGTGCCCCCCGAACGAGCACTACGAGCTGTGTGGCCCCCCCTGCCCCCCGACCTGCCAGGACGAGTCCGGCCCGCCGTCCTGCCCCGAGCCCTCCCCATGCTCCGAGGGCTGTTTCTGCGATCCCGGTTATTTCCGAAGCGGGGATTCCTGTGTCCCGCTATCCCAGTGCGGCTGCACTCTGGAGGGTCGTTATTACCCCCGGGGGGCGCAGTTCTACCCCTCCCCGTCCTGCACCCAGCGCTGCGTGTGCTCTAGGGGGGGGCACGTGGAGTGTGAGCCCACCCCGGGATGCCTCCCGGGCCAGGAGTGCGGGGTGCGAGACGGGGTCCTGGGGTGCCACCCCCGCAGCGCCTGCGGGCACTGCCAGCTCCTGGGGAGGGGCACCTACAGCACCTTCGGGGGGCAACTGGGGGGCTTCGGGGGGTCCTGCACCCTCCCGCTGCTGGAGATGGACGCGGGGGACCCCGAGGAGGGGCCGCAGCCCCTCAGGGTGGCCCTGGAGCAGCACGAGGGGGAGGTGAGGAGGGTGACGGTGACGGCGCAGGGGATGACGGTGGCCATGGACAGGGGACAGCGCTGGGAGGTCATGGTGAGTGCGAGGCGGGGAAACCCGGGTTTGGGGGGGCAAGTCCCGGTTTGGGGTGGAAAACCTTGGGTTGGGGAAGAGAACCTTGGGTTGGGGGCGAAAATCCTGGAGTTGAGGGTGCAAGTCCTGGTTTGGGGACAAAAACCCTGGTTTTGGGGTGAGAACACCAGTTTTTTGGGGGAAAAGAGGATGGCAATGGGGGTTTGGTGGGCTCAGCAGCAGGGAAAGGGCTGTTTTGGGGTAAAACCTCTGACTTTGGGGTGCAAGCCCTGGTTTGGGGTTTAAACCCTTTTTTTTTTTTTATGTATAAACCCTGTTCTTTTTGGCGTGCAAACCCTGTTTGAGGGGGATGCAAACCCTACTTTTGGGGTATAAACCCTTTTTGGCAGGGGGTACGAACCCTGGTTTTGGGATGAAAACCCTATTTTTGCTGTTATAAATCCTGTTTTTGAGGTACAAAATCGTATTTCTTTGGGATTATAAACCCTGTCTTTTGGTGTGTAAACCCTGGGTTTTGGGGTATAAACCGTATTCTTTGGCATTTTAAACCATGGGGTTCGGGGTAGAACCGCTATATTTTGGGGTATAAATCCTATTTTTTGGGGGTATAAACCCTGTTTGGGGGGGATGCAAACCCTGTTTTGGGCGTGTAAACCCTATTTTTAGGGTTATAAACCCTGTTTCTTTGGGGTACAAACCCCAGTTGTGGGGCTGCAATCCCTATTTTGGGGGGGTTCACCCCGGTTAGGCTCCAACCCCCCCTTTGCCCCCTCCC